AGCCCGGACGTGCCGAGCGGGGCGGGAGTCCCCGCGGCCAGGCGGGTCACGCTGTGCCTGTGCCCGGGAGCCTCTACCGCCGACAGCCGGGACATGAAGCTGAGCTCACCCCGACGGCCGGAGATTTGCAGTGCCCGGTCTACCCCCCTCCTTTCTCAGTAACGAGCCTGCTGTTCTCCCTATTGCAGGCAGCCGCAGCCCCGCTATTTTATAGACTGCTTCAACAGCCACGCTATTTTATAGACTGCTGCAACAACTGCAACTAGGGCAGGCTATTTCTGGTGCTGCTGTAAATTAATCAAAACGCGACTACAAATAGAATGTCAACATTTCAGGAAGAACCATGTTTAATATTCCTCCTGAATGGACGCCACAACAAAAACTGTGTTCTACCGAAGCAATTGTTTACTGGGAAGTGGCATGAAACGAGTGAACACAAAATGTTAAAGGATCAAGTACAACCGTGGTAAAGAAAGGCATGAAAGTTGCATCTATTAAAGTGTTCCAATTATTAAAAGTGTCACCAATTAAAAATATATTAAACTACCAAACAATTTTTTTTCTCCTTATAAAGTTTACCCAAGAAAGGAGACAATTACCTTCATGGCTAACATCATGGACTTTCCTTGATCAAGCAGTAGCAGTGGCTAATTAAACAGTGACAAGGAAGTGTAAATTCCTCAGATTCATTTTTAACATTAAGTTACAGGTAGAGACATTAATTTCCGATATAGGTCCTTTCAATCAGAAAATACACAGGGGAAAGCAGGGATGCTGAATTACATCTGGCAAGCTGATCAACTTTAGACTGCATTCTCTCTATATAATAAAAAAAAGGATTTTTTATTAATATTGTTATAAAGTGCTAACCCCTTTTTGATGAGAGGCATGAGGAACTCTTTCCAGGTCAGTGACGTGATCCATGTAGACCTTCTTGCAGGACTGGGACCATAATTCCATGGAAGATTATTCATACATCTGAGTGGGAGGCCCCTGGTTCATGGAAGCTCTGGAGCTTCTCAGCCTATTAACATACTTAGAAAAAATGCAACACAACTCAAGGAAGTTATACTTCTAGTACAGCAGAGTATGATTTATATACTTCTTCCTTCAGCACTCAGCTTTCCTGAAAAATCCTGCAGGCACCAATACCTCTCTTGCCTGTTCTTACTGATGTCGTTAGAAAAACTCCTTATTTAAGGAGGTGCGCTTCAGATCCTAACACCCCTGGATCAGACGAAGGTTTAAAGGAGGAAGAAGGAACTAGCTGCATCACCCCAGCACCAGTAAGCTGTCCTAACCCGAGCTAGGATCAACAACAAGCCTCATGCCTGCCAGCATTC